CACTCATCGAGACTTTTCATTTGAGTACCCACATAAATTTTTCATATAACTTATATATATATATGATATTTATAAAATATATGATAAGTGCATGTGGGTACTTAAGGTCGACAACAATTTATAAATAAAAAATCTATTAAATAAACATTTTTCCCTGGACTGAATTGTGAATCTAAACCATTCTGGAATCCACCGGAAGACACAAAAAATTTCATTAAAATCGGTCCAGCCGATTAGGAAGAGTTCAGTGACTAACAGACGCACTGAAGATATATATATATATATATATATATATATATATATATACACATAAAGATAAAAGATATAAAAAATGCCATGTGGATACTTAAATGAAAGGTCTCGAATAGAGTAACATCGAAATGAGCTTATATCTTAAAAAATGTCATTAATTAAGAAATTACATTGTATCTCGTGAACTATTGACATTTTTAAAGATGTAAGCTCATCCTGATGTTACACTCACGAAGGCCTTTCACTTGAGTACCCACATCAATTTTTTTCATATATTTTATATATTTATATATATTATATATATGTATATATGAAAAATATATCAAAAATGCATGTTGGTACTCAAATGAAAGCTCTCGATGAGTATAACATCGAAATGAGCTTGTATTTTTAAAAACGTCAATATTTAAGAAAGTACAGTGCAATTTAACAAAAGTCATTATTTAATAAAGCAAATTTTTATTTATTTATAGTTTACAAGTCACGGCAGTCACATAGCGACTGCAAGGTTGCTAGTTGCTATTAAACAAATTCATTTTTAACTAATTTTACCGTATAACCTAACTTTTTAACTCCAAATAAATCAAAATAATGAAAATAAATAATTTTAAGTAAAAATATAAGGTATTATAAAGAAAATAATCTTATTGAATTATAAATTTCTAGAGACATTTGTAAAATTAAATCTATCGACAATGCTTACCAAATAAATATTTAGTAACTACTACTAAATATTATTTGGTGGAAAAAAATATTTATTTTGACATAATAAGGCTTTGTTTATATTAATATAATTTATTTAGGATAAAAAAATAATTTATTAAACTGTAACAAACAATATTGATGGGTAAAAAATATCTTTTTCTCCCAAATAAATGACTAAAATATTTTCTTACTAAATCAGATTATTACCCCATACTAAATCCGTCTATCAATATACTTGAACTTATTTAAATAAAACGATATCAAAAAGTTTATTTAAATTTCGAAATTATAGACCAGGAAGGAATTATAACTAACAATGAGCTAAGTATAGTTTCGATAAAATATTTTAAATAATTAAAAAGTTGTTAGTTCCCCAGTTGAGGGGTGATTTCGTGCGCAGTCGCTCTGTTTGGCGGGAGAACGTTGGCTCTTAACTCGGGACGATATCAGGACTCAGTTGATGTTCGCGCGTCAACCTGTGACGTTACAATGTTCCTACTTGTGTTTATTGTCTGTGTGCTTGCTTCTGTAAATGCTTTTACTGATCCAGCCGCAGGTGAGCTTTTTATTATTCATTTGTTGTTTACTTTTAATTATTACTCTCCGGTGCTTCTTTACTTTTTTTATTTATTT